CTTGGAAGTGAACTCGTTACTTGTATCAGAGATGTCAAACTAATATGATAAGATTGATAACTAAGTTGAGCACGAAGCTCCTATCTAAATGGCAGACGTGCCAGTCTTATATAGAACCTCTGTTCTCTGTTCTAACTGTTGGATCGCCGGGGTCGCTTGTCTACCGAGTCGACCCAGACGACTGGAGCGCTCGTCGCTCCAGGCGACCCAACTTGTCACGTGACACCAACAAAAGGAAATCCCTGGATCGCTTAGCTAGCCCAAGCGATCCCATTTGCTATAAGAGCGTTCAATAGTGCTTCACTTGTCAGGACGCCGCCTGGTCTTCACTTCTCACGTGACAACACGTGATTCGTGACACACTACTTCTTTAAATAGTATCTTACTTTATATTCTGAACATTATACCTGCCTTTGTGCCTGATAATATAGGTCCTAAATCATTATTTCAAGTCTGGCTTTACTCATCTTCTCTTATTACCATACAAATTATCCGAGTTTATTTACAAACAACCCACCATAGACACTCAGAAACGCCTCGTTGCCAACCCAATAAATACAACCCGCCGCCAGTCGATGCTAAAACGCCTGAAATGCACTCCCGCAAACCAAGAGATTCGCTAATTACCAGAGTCCTATATTCATACAACATACATCTACAGTACAGTACGATCCTCATCAATCAATCACTAGTCAAATCACAAACCTCCACCTCACTCATCCTCCAAGCCTTCCTCCCCTTCCTCCCCTTCCCACTCCCTTTTCCCTTCTCTCTCTCCTTCTCACTCCTCTCCAACTCATCTTCCTCTACTGGTTTCCAGCCACCAGGCAAAGAATCTCTTAATATGATGAATTTCTTCTTCGGGGGTGGCGCTGGCGCCGACACGAAGGGGTCCTCGGTATCTTCTTGAAGGACGCCGTCGTCGTTCGGGGGATATAGATGGTTGGTGAAGACGGGACGGGGAGGGGGAGCCATACTCTGTGGTTGTGGTGGGGAGGAGAGTATGATATTCTCAGCGATAGATGGGTTGTTTGTAGTGGTTTGTTGCTGTATTTTGTGGGTTGTGGTGGGGGAGGGAGGGGCTAGATCTTCTGGGGAAGAAGATAGGGTGATGACTTTATTTTGCTTTCTTTCTGGGGGTTTGTTTCTGTCGAACCCCGGCTTGAAGAATTTGTCGAGTGTAGGGAGGTCAGGTGAGGATGGTCTTCTTGTAGTCGTGGGTTTGGCATTTCGTCCTCGTGCTCTGCCTTTTCGGAGACTTACACCGGGGCTTTTGAGAATGTCGATCATGTCGAGATCTTGCGGGGAAATTGCGGTAGTGGAATGTGGAACGTTGTGATCTGATGTTTCTGGCAGATCTTCGGATTCTAGAGATACCTTTTTGCGGGGTGGTGGTCTTAATGGGTTCCGAGTTTTGGAAATTGGCGGGTTGAGAGAATTGGATTGGATATTCGACTGCAAGGAGGGATTTTCATAATCGCTTTCTGAGAGCGCGGGTGAGTGGAGATGTTTTCCGGAAGCGGGTAGGTCGGGATCTTTGGGAGATGGACAAGGTGGTGAACTTGATGTAAGGTCGATGGGGAATGAACCTTTTCTGAAGCTTGCTGGGGGAGGACTGATCGATTTACTTTGTCGCGCGTTGAGCGGTTTCGTGACAACAACATCCTGAGATCCGGTACCCCAAGGTGTGGAGTTCGCGGATGGCTTTACTTTGTTCTTTTTTGATTGCGCCTTCGAGGTTTTGGCTTGCTTTGGTTTCGACGTTGTGACTCTGGTAGAGACTTCTTTACAGGCTGAAGTTGAGGCGGGAACCAAGGATGGGATCAGAAATAAAGGCGGAAAATCATCGTCGTCGCCATTTGCTGATGCTTCGTGTATATCAGGATCCTCGAATGCCTCCTTCTCTTTGGGGGCTTGTTTTGAGACGGTTACAAACCTATCCATAGCCCCTTTCTGAACTAAAATTTTGGCACCCTTTTTACTTAAAGCTTTCTTAGCAGCAGCTTTTTGCTTCAAGAATTTCTTCGGGTTTCGCAACGATTCCTCGTAATCTTCCAGTTTCAATGGCACTCCGAGTCTGACTATGGTTTCAGGAATCCATGCCTTGTCGGGCTGAGTTGGATCGTATTGAGAGGCAGCCCGTTTAGAAGGACTCTCCGGCACTCTCCTATTATCATCTGATTGATATGCCTCAATTTGGTCATCTTGGAGGATAGGAGCCAGCCCATCTCTCCCATAGTCTCCACAATCGTCGTCGGGCTCTTCCTCCAAATCCAACGGAACTATATCGAGAGGTTGGTAAACCACTCGCGTCTCGGGAATTCCGTCTGAACTAATGTGAGTTCTCTTCCCGCAAATCTCCCGCACTAACTCCATTTCGTTCATAGCAGTGAGAATAAGATCTCCATATCCAGAAGCCCTACGAGAACCTCGAAGTCGAAGCTTGTGCATCAACAAAGCCGGGGCAAGGTTCCTAACGTACTTGATTGCGCCATCTTTGCCAGTCCATCCGAACTCTTCCGCAACAAATCGTCGCAGCCCCTGGATATCGACCTCTCCGTCCCACAAATTAACTTCTTTAAGTTGTTCAATTCTGGATGCTGAAGACACCACAGGATGGGTGTAGAATCCCAAAACGTCTCTGTCTGGAAAGCTATCTGGTATCACGAGAGCTTTGTGTCTTTGTTTGAAATGCTTGCTTTCGTTTGATTGAATCTCGTGGGTTAAGTCTTTCCTCCATTTCTCCAGGGCAATAGGGTCTGATCTGGATATTTGGCACAGAGATTTCCCATATCCAGCTCTTGCAGCTTCGCAAGCAATCTTTGGGCCACAATGAGGAATTCCGTCAGTATTGTAATCCCCGCCACTCATTAGAGCCACTAAGATCATCCCCTCTCTATCGAGTCCAGACTTTGCCTTCGTTTCGGTTGCGTAATACGCCGAGATATGCGTTGGCGACTTATTACGGGCTCCTTCAGAAGACCAATTCCGGAGCGTTAATCCACATCCAAACATCAAAGTATCGACATCCTCACTTAACACTGCGTCGACTAGACCTTCCCTCTGCAAGAGCGCGCATTCTGCCTCGGCTTCTCCAGGAGCCATGTGGAAAGGAAAGCCGAAAAGCTTGAGTAGCTGCTTAGTGAGGCGATTTGGAGCCACTGATCCATTTCCGGTCTTCTTATTGCGTTTCACCGGCGGCTTATGCGGTCCATCAAAAATAAATAGTGGCTGGATCTGGTAGCCGAGCAATTTGACCAGCCGGTAGAAAAATGTTCGCAGAGCGGGATTTGTGCCTCCTGTACGAGATGAGGAAAGGTTAAAATACTAGAGGAATAATTTGAAAATTACCTTGGCCTGCTTGTACTTGGAATTGCCAGATTGAAACGTCAATAGCCACACGAAGGGGTCGGTTGGTCTCCTCATAGTGTTCAACAGCGAGCTTTGCCAAAGAAATTCTCTTGCCAGGCCCAATCTCCGCATAGATCCCTTTGATGCCCATGTTGCAAAATTAACCTATAGCTACAGGAAACAAGGAATGGGGGCAACCCAAAAGATAAGCACCACCTGAGAGCCACAATACTAGGATGGAATTATGAGAGGACCTTCATGTTGAAGTTGTATGCTGCCAATAAGTAAGAGGAAATAAGTGGAAGTTGTGTGGGCCTGGGCATGGATAGAGGGTGCTTAGCGATGGTAGCGGGATGTATTGGCCTTGGTGGTGGTGGTGGTGGTGGTGGTGAAAGAGGCGAGGTCGTGTTTACCTTTTGGGAAGCCATGTCGGCAAAGAAACGGACCGCCGCGGCCCAAGCGTTTCTCCGCTCGGAGCCGAGCCGCATGCAACCTCGAGGAACAAGTAGGTAGAAGTATTAGACCACTACTACCGAGAATACATTTACACCATCGGTTGCTCTCATACCAGAGGAAGATCCAACCGTCGTCAATTGCAGACAAATGTAGCAACATGTCATCTTCCACTGGTCCTGGTCCTGCGCATCGGAACGTTGCCAGCATCAGATCCCCACTCGCGAATATACCTGCTTCCCCCACCAGCCCTCATACACCCACCCGCGGTATAGGTATATCCTCAGCATTTGGGTCACCTTCAGCATTGCGCGCCGAAGATGACCATGTGGTTATCGAGCTGGGCGCCCGGTACTTTAGAGCAGGTTTTGCTGGAGAAGCGTTACCCATTTCTACAATAGGGTTTGGGCCGGAAGCTCAAAGGAGAACGGGTGATTATCGAAAATGGGAAGCAGGGCACGATGCTGAATGGCGTAAAAGGATTAGGGGGAAATCATGGGGAGAGGCACACGAGTTTTGGAGCCCCGATCTTCGAGATCTGGATATGGGTTTAGTAAGTGACAAGTTGGATAGGGCGATGCGGGATGCTTTTGCAAAGTTCGTAGGTTTCCATTTCCTTTGGCAGAGCGCAGAGTACTAACACCATCGCAGAAATCTACTGATTGACTCCCGACCGAGAAAAGTCAGTTTAATTCTGCCGTCCGCTTTTCCTCTGCCTCTCTTATCCACGGTTCTCGATACGATGTTTGCCAATTTTCAGTCTCCCACAATATCTCTCATGTCATCGCCAGTTTTGTGCACTATTTCTGCTGGGCTACGTTCTGCTCTTTTGGTAGACATCGGATGGGCCGAGACTGTTGTTTCTGCTATATACGAACTGCGAGAAGTCCAGTCTACACGATCAGTCAGGGCGACCAAGTGGCTGGGGAAAGAAATGTCTAGAGTGTTGAGCAAGCTTATTGAACCAAATGCACCGCAACGTGTTTCCGAGACCTCCGAGATGGTAGAGGATGAAGCAATGTCAAGCCTCTTGAGCTTTGAGGAATGCGAGCAAGTTGTCACTCGAATGGCTTGGTGTAAGCCAGGAAAGACAACAAAGCATATATCGCCGGCCATTGGGCTTACGCCGGTCAAGGAAGAGGATGAACTCAGGTCAAGCATGCGGTCTTTGCACATTGGGAGCGTGGTAGAGAAAGAGGCGCAGGCCTTTATCGACTTGACGTCGACCAGTCCTCCCAGGAAACTTCAAGTTCCATTCGCAACTCTTTCAGAGCCCTGTGAATCTACTTTTTTTGCTACAGGAATATCAGAATCGGAGCTAGACGACGAGGAAACTCCCCTGCATTTGCTGATTTATCGCAGTCTTCTCAAACTCCCCATAGATGTCCGATCAACGTGCATGGCACGGATTGTTTTTGTCGGAGGCGGGTCCAAACTACCTGGGCTGCAGAGTCGTGTTCTCGAAGAATTGGACCATCTCATCGAGCATCGAGGCTGGGTTAATATCCAGGGGAAAGCGGTAGAGCAGCTTCGAAACAATCCCCGATTCAGCAAAACACGCAACAAACAAAGCGGACGAGGGCCAATGGAGGTACCGCCAGGTGACGTAACTCCGGCTTCTTTACAAGAACAAGAATCCGATCCAATCGAGGATACGATCAATCGGGCTGCGAGGAAGATCAATCCATCACTGGAGGAGGGTCATCTACGGGCTATTCATTCTCTCGGTGCATGGGCTGGTGGGAGTCTGCTCACCAATCTGAAAGTGCCCTCTGTTTCCGTGATTGAGCGAGAACAGTGGCTTCAGCATGGTGTTTTGGGGACCTCCAAATCCGGCGAGGTGTCGGTGTCAGTGAGTAGCCGGCAGAGTATGGGGGCTGGGGGTGCATTCAAGTCGGTTGGTGGTGAAAGGTCTAGTTGGACGCTTGGTCTCTGGGCATGATTGTTAATCTATGGTAGAGGTGCTGGGGCATGCCTATTAGGGTGTGAGTGTGAGTATGTACACCCAGGGAGTACAGTAAAAAAGTAGCAATAATCAATCCCATCGCCCCTCATGCTCATCGCCCCTCATCCTCCCCCCCTTATGCTCATGCTATGGGGGCCAGCCCCCAAACCCCCGTGGTTCGCTTCGCTCTGAAGTGTGTTTACTACACTACCTATCTAGGTAGGTACTATGCTGTACTGTAAGATACGCTGGTAGTGCAGTAGTGCAGTAGTGCAGCATACGAATACAGCCTCGACAGCCTCCACGGCAGTGACCCTCGGAGAGCCAGCGGAGCGTCATCTCGCGACGTCCTTGCACCATGCGAGCATGTTCATCTAGAAGTACGAGCATCTCAAAGTCCGATGCGCTTATCTTATGTCCGAAGACGAGGGTCTTGGCAAGGCTGTGGCTGCGGCTCGACTGTGCAAAACATTTCAACCTGAAGACATGGAATATTAGGAGCTACTCTAGCTACTCGAGTACTCCCAATATTCCACCAAAATCAACTGCGGATGAAGAACACCACAACCTCACACCATCATGTTCCCATCCTTGGCCTTCCCGGCCTCCACGTCGAGATCTGTCCCTCTCTCTCTGGCACTCTCACTCCTCCCAACATCTCCACTGGCACTGCGATGTTTGTTATCCCACCGTCAATACCACCGACACCAACACACACATCTTGCCTTACGTCTGCGTCTACGCCCACAATCCCATCCAGCCACGCAACCCCAGTTGCAGCTCCAGAGATTCTCCTCCGTCCTTTCTCAGCAATCGGACAGCCTCATCAAAGGCAATAATTCTGTGCCTACAAGTCCCTCTACCTCTAACGACCCCGAGCCCGGCAGAAAAGAATCTGCTGCGCCCTCTCGCTCTGGCCAAAAAAAAGCCCTCTCCGGTATGCCATGGGGTGTCTACGCTTCAACGAAAACTCTAATTGCACTTCCTCTTCCTTCTCTATCGCCTTCCGATTGCGATGTCTTAGAGAGAACTTGCGAGGAACGCAATTACCTTCATCTGGCAAAATTCCCTAGGGAAATCTTGCGACTTCGTGAGCTACTCAAACCATTGGAATCTATGAAGCGAATTGCATACGCGCGAAGACAAGCTATAGCTCGTCTGCTCGACCTATTTCGTCACAAGAAAGAGCCGCCTCCTGAATTCTTACGAAATGCTACCCAAAATAAGGCGCAACGAGACCTGGTAGGCATGACGGAAGAGCAACTACAGGCAGAGGCGAAATCAGTGAAAATGGAATTAATGGGAATGTTAAAATATGAGGCCACACTTAAGGAGGAAATTCACAGGCTTTTCTTGTCGCTCCCAAACCTCACCAGTCGTGAGACTCCTCGCGGCAAAATCCCCAAGATTGTCGGTTATATCAATGATCATCCAAAGGAAAGCCCTTTTCATAGCCAGTACTCGAGACATCACACCAGGATTGGTACCGAACTGGAACTGCTTGATTTCAAAATGGGTGCCAGCACCACAGGATGGGGCTGGTATTACCTCTTGAATGAAGGCGCTCAGCTCGAACAGGCTCTCATACAATACTCCCTCTCTGTGGCAAGACGAGGCGGTTGGGGCATGGTCTCTCCGCCAAGTATGGTAAATAGTGATATTTCCTCAGCGTGCGGGTTTCAACCTCGAGATCAGGATGGTGCGCAACAAGTTTACAGCGTTCTAAAAAGCTCGCGGCCTGGAGAAGCAAAGTCCGAGATAAGCCTTGCCGGTACCGCCGAGATACCACTTGCAGCCATGCTATATGAGCGAAGGATTTCTGGCCAAGAACTACCGAAAAGGCATGTAGCCGTATCGCGATGCTACCGAGCTGAAGCGGGAGCTAGAGGTTTAAGCTCAAAGGGATTGTACAGAGTGCATGAGTTCACTAAGGTGGAGATGTTCGCCTGGACACATCCAACAGAGGAAGCGTCCACAGCGATCTTTGACGAGATTCAAAGGATACAAATCGAGATTCTTTCTTCGCTTGGTCTACACTGTAGGATCCTCGAAATGCCTAGTATGGATCTAGGAGCCTCGGCAACGCGAAAACGGGATATCGAGGCATTTTTCCCTTCCCGAACAGGCATCAATGAAGGATATGGTGAAGTCACCAGTGTTAGCACTTGTACAGACTATCAGACTTCTAGGTTGAGAACGCGCCTAGGAATGAAGACGAGTAAGAGGGAATCTAACCCGTATACTGTGAACGGGACAGCACTCGCAGTGCCCAGAGTACTTGCGGCCATTCTAGAGAATGGTTGGAACGAGGAAAGACGTGAGGTTGCTGTCCCAGAGTGTCTGTGGCCGTGGATGGACGGCGTAAAGGTCATTTCGTCCAAAGTCAAAGCAAATGGCGGCAGTGTACCGGCAGCAGCTGTAGGGGATCCACTTGTAGCAATTGAGGATGAGGAACAAGATTATCAACACCAGGATGACCAGCTTTTGGAAGAAGCCGAAGATGACGAGTTGACTCTGGAAGAACAGCAAAGTATGACTGATGGAATTGAGGAAAGTGACCTGGATCTTGATGGCCAGGAGGGTCCAAATACAATAGTAGAGGGGGGTGAGCTACCTCCCGAGTCTGAAGAGCAGGCTTCTGCAGTCGTGGAAGACGTATTTTCCGATGAAGCGTTAGAGACTCAACCAACTAGCGACAGCCAAACCGAAAATGACGTTGCATCTGCCGAACAAGTCGAGGTCGATGAGCTTATCGATGTTGGAGAATCAGGCGAGCTGACTCCATCTGTTGATAGCCAGAGGGATGAAGTTTCTCAATCGACTGAAGAAACTCCGTCTTTTGAATCAGATAGAACAGCACAAGAGGAGAGTGTATCGTCAAATGAGCCTCAGATTACCCAGCCCACTGAACAAGCTGGAGTCAATGAGCCTGTCGCTGATCAGGAGGCAAGCGATCTAATTTCATCTGTAACTAATCAGAAGGATGAGGTTCCTCAATCGACTGAAGAGAATCAGCCAGCTGAACCAAATGAATCAGCCCCAGAGGAAGATGTCCTGTCAAATGATCCTCAGACCGCCCAGGCCAACGAAGAAACGCAGACTACCAATGAGGCTCAGACCACCGAGGAAGCAAAACCCGAATCACCAGTCAAGTCTCTCTTCTCAAGATTCCTCGGTCGATGAGACGACTAGACTACAAGGAAAGGGAAGCGGTCGCTTGAGTTCCCGCGAAGTGGGAAGATCTTCTCGTCGAGGTTCATTATGTTGGGGGGTCGTGAGGATTTCGATAGGTATCTGAGAGCCCGCTGAGCGCACTGGAGGTTCGTGAGTCGTGGCTCACGTGACTAAAACCACATTCACTATACACAAATCAAAATCGTCACACCTTCTTGAGAATGCTGCTTTGAAGAGTGCTTGTTTGATGAGTGTGTTTATATATCCAACGCATCGATGTTTCGCGGAAATCTCATGAAAGGAAAAGGGAGGGGATAATGAAGAATTGTATAATATGACATAATGAATGGAAATGTGTTTCCTGGGGCCGCCGTGGGAAAATGTAAGAGTAGTACGGTAGTGTACAGTAGAGTAGGAAAAGTTTTGTTTTGTTATATTATTTATGTAGGGTTTAGAACAATGAGATACCACCACTTCCTTTAGATACTGTAGTAAGATAACAAATGTCCTTCATACGGTAGAGTAAACGACTAAAATACGAGTACTACCTGATTAACCATTTAATAACGACAGAACTACCACCTACCTACCTATATACCACGTCTAGAGTCTAGACTTGGACGCTAATACGATACGATATTATCGAAAATTCGCGATACTTGGTATATGGCCGACATATTATTCTAGGTATAGTATAGGTACTATACGATATAATCACCGCTATAATACCTAGCTTAAAAGTACCTAGGTATTATCCATATTATATGGCAGGATTTATAGTGAATGAGAATGAAGGCTTAGTAAGCTATGGTAGGATATATGTCCTACCCTACTACTACTATATACCTTTAACACTACCACTATATCTACTATATCCACTATATCCACTATATCATTAGCTACACTTTTGTGAGCTCTTTTGTCCCACCTATATTCCCCTCGCTAGAAGGCTCGCGTAGCGATTTAAGAGGGTTTTAGACCTTAGTTTAGTTAAACTACCCTCGTAAGGGGTGCGTAGCCGAGGGTGCTTATACTTCGCTTTCTACTTATATATAGGCGAATTATAAGTACTTAAAGCTAGCTAGTAATATAAAAGAAAACCAACAATAAGCCTTATTTGATATAACGTGTACCAACTGACGATTGAACATAAATAATCGCTATAATACCTAGGTAGCTTAAAACTACTTAGGGATTATCGATATTATATCGTGTTATATAGGTAAGATCCCTTATCTAGAATTAGTATAGAGGTAGATGCTACTTGAGTAGTTAGATTTAGTACTGTACTTATCATTACTTGATTAGAGAAATACGGTATTTTACTTTATTTTACTATATTCCACTCTACTAGAATACTACTCTAGTAATTAAGTAGTTAAGTAGTTAAGTAGTTCTTTCGTAGGTACGCTACGACCGACCAACCTTCCGATACCATACTATACTACTACTATACTATGACTATACTCCTAGATCTCCTCGATCCCTTGATTCCATACCAACCAGATCACCATAGCCAGAACAAAAAAACATTACCACACTGCATTCCATAATAACACAAACAACATCACTTATCTTCCAACAATCACCCAGAAAACTCAAAGAAACATACGTATAGTAGCACCAAAACAAAAACTTCACAAAAGAAAACCCCCGGCTAAAAGAAATCGCTATTCATTCCATTCCATTCCATTCCAATCATTACAGTAGAGTAGGTAAGTAAAAGTACCAGATATTTCACACGAGACCTACTCCTACTCCTACTCCATATCCTCAAGAACCCCTTCCCCCCTCGCCCTACCCCCGAATTTCCTCTCCGACCCATCAACCCATTTCCTCCCCAATTCCACCCACCCATCCATCCATCCCATCCACCACGCTCGCATAAACAGAACCATAAAATGACAAAAAGAGTATTTACAAGGTCATAATCCGACATACCAGCGTCCTCAAAAAAATAACGGAGAAGAGAAGAGAAGAAGAGAAGAAGAGAAGAAGAGAGTAAACATAATGAAGAGTCCTGGGATCCCTGATCCGACATACTCACTCACTCACTCAGTTCCCCTCACGCCGCAACAGCCGCCACCTCCTCATCATAAAGAACCATAGCAGCTGGCTCATCCTCGCCCTCCGTAATAGTACTGCCCGTAACCTGACTATCCGAATCGCCATCAATACTACCCGTCCACTCTGTGCCCTCATCAATAACACTCTCACTCAAACCCGTACCGGTGCTCGTCAAGATGGTAGTACCGATACTAGTTCGTCGATCACCCTCGCTCTGGTGATCCGCATCACTCAGCTCGTCTTCCTCGCTTTCCTTGAGTGCCAAGTTCTCCTTGTTCAGATCACCGTATTTCTTGTTCTTCATGGACCCACCCCAACTTGTCTTGCGAGGGACCGCGGACAACGCTGAGGACTTGACACTGTGGCTGCGCTTCATGCCACCTGGAGGCATACTGTGTGCCATAGCACCGGTAGGTACATTGTGAGTGATCTGATTAAGCGAGAGAATTCGACGGGAGGCTCCACCAGTAGTATTATTGCTGGGTACTTTCATTAAGGCGCGATTTCCGTTCATCGCCATATTAACCGCACTCTGGGTGACATTGCTTGTGTGTGATGCTCTCGATGTGGGCCGTGGCGCGGTGACTACTGAAGAGGCAATAGATCCAGTAGTTGAAGTAGCATGACTTGGAACTCGTTTTCGACTCATTGCATCACGGCCTTTCGTATTCGATTTGGAAAGGAGGAAAGCCCGAGAATGGTCAATAACCCCTTCCAAGATGCGGCGTTCTAGTTGCGCGGCTCTTGCCTCCATCTCATGGAGCTCTTCACGACGAATGCGTAATGCAGTTTCGAGCCCAGAAACGTCAGCGGAAAGTTTCATCTTTTGAGCAGACAGAACATCTTGCTCAGTTTTCAAAGTAGCAACGGATCCCTTCAATTGCAATTCTTCCTCCCGAAGACCTACAATCGTAGCCTCAACTTGCTCTTTTTGCGAGTTGCGTTTCTCCAGAGCAATTGTGGCAGCCTCAACTGCCTTTTCCCTATCTTCGTGTTCGTCGGCGATGCGTTGAGTTTGTGCAGATACAAATTCAGATACTTCAGCTGCTGTTTGCAAGACTTTTTGATGTATCTGATCTAACATGTCAAGCTGTGAGAAAGACTTTCCGGCAGCCTGCATATGGTCCACTAGTTTGTCAAGTTTTTCATGAACCGGAGCATCATCATATTTTTCGATCTCAGGTGGCTCGATCATTTGCACAGGCGGAGGAGGTGGAGGAATATCCGCAATCTTTTGCTGGATTGTTGTAGTCGCTGTCTTGGAGTGCTCGAAGTGTTCACCGACCATAACCAAAACATCCTTGATTGATTCAAGAATCTTGGGACTGTACTCCGTGACCTGGCCCTGCACCCCCTCAATGGCAGCAATGCTCTTGAAGACTTCCTCACGGGTAAGCTGGTGCTCTGTTTTGGCGTCGACATGATATTCCTCGACTCTTGTAAAGGTTTCGTCAACACGGTTGAAAACTGTCTTTGATGCTTCGTCCATCTTTTCGACAGAATCCGTCACAGTCGCACCCAGAGTATCGACCAGCAATTTGACTTCTTCGCCCACAGTCTTTGTGCTCAACGTCGCAACTTCAACCTCAGCCATCTTCTCATCTACTGCTTTGGCCTTTGCGTCCGCAGCCAATTCTGCGTCCTCATATTTCATCATTAGTTCGTCAAATTTTTCGTCGAGCTTGGCGTCAAATTTGTCCCAGGTAGTCTGAAACTTTTCATCTGCGTCAAGCTTGGAGCCGACAACGCCAGCGTTTGACTTCTCAAATTCCGACTTGACCATCTCAAACATGTCCTTGATATCATCAGTCACATTAGCATTCTGGCCAACAGTTTCCCCCATGCTCTCGAGAAATTTGCCCAAAGTTGCAAGGTTGGATGATCCTTCCTCCATCTTTTCCCTAACCGCTTCCTTGAACTCCTCAAGGAAGGTTCTGACCTCGGACACTCGTTCACCGACTCCAACGGTTTCTGCTTGTCGTTCTTCAAAGGATTTGGCGTTGGATCCCGCATGAGTTTCAATCCGACCGTTGACCTCCTTAACCAGATCACCAAGAGTTTTCACATCACCCTTTGAAGCGAGATCGGCAATATCTGGCAGCACTCTCTGCTCTATGGCTGCTTTGACATCCAAGCATACAGCCTCGACAGCTTCCACATCTGTCTTTGTGACCTTCTCAACATTCTGCTCCTCCTTTTCCATCCGTTGTTTCATTTCATCCAGGCCTTCAACTACCCCACGAAGTAACCCTTCTACCATGCTGATATCATCCGTCTTGGTAACGTCATCAAGGTGAGTTTTCAGCTCGGTTATGCTCTCGCGGGTTTCGAAAAGTAGCACCTCAACGGCATCGAGATGCTCCTTCTTGACTGTCTGCTCCGGATCTATATCATCTATCTTGGCTTTCGTGTTCCTGAGGAGGGTTTCGATAGCCTCGATATCTTCTCTCTTGATAATTTCCTCGACAGGCGGCGGTGCTCGGTCACGATTGAGCATATCTATAACAGACTCTTGTACACTGGCAAGCCTCTTCTCAACACTAACAAGATCATCTTTGGACAGCGACCCGGGAGCTGGTTCGGATGGCTGTGGGGGCACACAATCTAGAGACTCCACCTTGATTCGTAGCTGCGTAATAAGACCCTCCAAGTTTTCAATGTCGTTTCGCTTGAGACCAGTTTCTTTATTATCAGTAGTAACAATAGCACGGCTATTGATTTCCGCTACTGCTGTTTCACCGAACCCGTTCTCGCGAAGACGATCGAGGTCTGCCTTAACACCTTCAAGACCAGTTTTCAAGGTATCCAGGATTTCATAATTGACGGTCATGTCAACAGGTTTGTTGTGAACCTTCTCAATCTCTGTGCGCAATCCAGTCAGACCTTCATCAAGAGTCTCCAATATCTCACGGTTGCCAGAAAGAATAACTTCATTGGGATTCCCTTGAGGTTTGTCCATGTCTGCACGGATACTGTTGAACCCATCTCGAAGGGCATCTAGAAATTCGTCTCTGTCGGTGTTTCCATCCGGACGTACTAAAGCGGTGGCCATGGCTCCTCGGAGGTGCTCTAATTCCCCACGAACAATCTCCATCGAATTTTCTGGTTTGCTGGCAAGTAAAGTTTCAATGTCGACACTAAGTTTGCTAAAGTTCTCACTGATACTCTCCAGTATTTCATCTTTGTTGATGCCGCTGGCGACCTGGTCAACGTAGGCCTCAATTTCGGCACGAAGGTTCTCGAAGCTATCCTTTGAAGCATCGAGTAGTTGCTCAGTATCTCTACCAGACGCAGCAATATTTTGCTTGGCCTCGTCAGATACTCCCTTGAACCCGCCTTCCACATAGTCCATCAATTCCTGGAGTCGTTCCAAGACCTGCTCGCTCCATGGATCTCTCTGGATCGGAGCTTCTCGAATGCCTGCTCGAACAGCATCGTAGACATCATTCCGATTCAGTGGCCCTCCGACATCTTTACTCAAAGCCATAGAGTTTGAGCCAAAGTCAGAATTATTGATTCCGTCTCTAATGGCGTCAAGAATCTCGTCGCGGGTCATGGCAGCCCCAGTCGAAGTGAAAGTTGTTGGGAAATCGAAGATATGGAGCGCTTCAGTAACAATTTCAAGAAGTTCGTCACGAGTCGTTGGAGCATTTGGAAAATCGAAACTCTCGAGGCCTTCCTTGACGGTATCCAGAAGATCATCGCGTGTGGGAGTATGCTCGGTGAAGTCGAAAGTATGAAGGCCCTCGTTGACCGCATGAAGGACATCTTCACGGGTTATACTGAATTCCTTGATGCGATTCGATGTTGTTGCGAAGTCAAATGTGTGGAGACCTTCCTTGACGGCATCTAGCATATCGTTCCGAGTCACATTTCCACCGACATCGTGGGTAAGTGCTGTGCTAGTGGCGGCAAAATCAAAAGACTGTAGACCTTCTTGGACTGCGTGAAGCATGTCCATACGAGTGACCTCCGGCTCTCTTGGCTCAAGCATTGGTGCTGCTGGGAACTCAAACTCTTCTAGACATTCCCGAACTGCATCGAGAATTTCTTCGCGTGAGAGGCTGGCCTCAGTTTCCACTCGTGGCGGAGAGAAGTGTTTAAGACCCTCAATAACGGCCTCAAATACCTCCTCCCGTGTTGCACCTCCGACATCTTGAGCGCTATTTTGGGGAACGTACTCCTGAATTCCCTCTTTTAGACAAGCCAAGAGCTCCTCCCGCTCCAATCCGAAGTGTTCAACCTCAATGTCGGGTTTGTAGGTCTCCCAGGCTTCGCGAACAGCTCCAATTATGTCGTCTTTCACGAGCTCCGGCGTCCCAGACTCCTTAGGCTTCTCGTTTATTGCAGCCCGCATTGCGTTGTATATCTCCTGGTAGTCAACAGGATTGCGCACAACTGCAGAAGCCGTTTCTCGTTGATTTTCACATAGTAAATCATCCATGTGCTGCTTCAACTCCTCCAAGCCGTTGTTGATAACACGGGCTATCTGGTTCTTCTCAGCAGCAAGATCCTTTGCACCTGAATCTTTGCTATTAGCCTGCTCCAGCTTTCGTCCAATCTCGCGACCCATTCCTAAAACTTCTCCGCGAAGTTCGCGAACCAGAGCCTTTACCTCCGCTGTAAGACCGCCACCTTGAGCAACGCTGTCTTTTATCGTCCGGATGATCTTCATAAGCTCATCGTTGACAATATCTGCTCCTCGAACGCTTCCGGGCGCACTCTGGCTTTCCTTGTTTTGTCCTGATCCTCCGAAGAGAGCTTCTACTCTTGCAGATAATTGTCCAGATTTTGGCTGATCAAAATCCAGTTCCAAGTTGGGTGAATCGTCAAAGCTGAAAGTGCGGGGTCTGTTCCCAGTATTCGCAGGTTTTTGGGTTACCATTGATTGGGTAGAATTACTCTTCACGACCTCTAGCAACTCCTCAAGCTTCTTTGCCGTCGATACTTCATCCTTGGATAGACGTTCTCCGACCTCCATGAGTTTAGCCACAAGATTTTCCTGGCCTTCTTTTGTCCCCATATCACGCAAAATCTTCTCGAGTAAGGCAACGCTGGCGGCATTTTCGACTCCAAAGGGACAAGCACTGGCACTGGTGACGGATTCTCTGTCCAACGAGGCAGCGAAACTATTGGGGCTAGGTATTCGTGGAAGAGTAAATGGCTTGATATTCTTAGTGTGCAATGCCTTTGCATCCAGATATATTGGGTTTTGGTAGAGATCGCTGGGTGGTGACCGGGAACCGGACTCTGATAGATTACTAACCAGCTCCCTTAAGCTCTTCCGGATATCCTCATCCCTCGCGTTTGTAGCCTCCTTCAGACTGACAAGGTCGGTCGCATTATCCTTGCTTCTCCGACTGAGTTGAGCCATTTCTCGTTGTAAACTTGTGGCAATGCTTGTGAGGCTCAGAATCTGGTTCGATATTGCATCAAAGGTCTGTGGCGTACGATTGGCCGCTGTTGATCCATTTGTAACATTGGAGAGTGGCGGAGGTGCATCCGCATCCTTACTCGCCATTGATTGTAAGGCAATCATTGTTGCAGACTGCGGCGGCGTGTTTTCCCCCAATATGCTTTGCGGTGGTCTTCGTAAGGATGGACGTACTGACATCATGTCACGAGTTGATGAGTCTCGGCTAGGAGTTGGGGTTGTGGATCGTGGAGTATGGCAATCTTCTTTCTCAGGAGGTTTCTCTAGCGATAGTCCTTCTAAGAAAAAGTCCTTCGGTCCATGTGGAGTAGATGGTCTTTTCGCGGACTTATCGGGCGAAGTTGGTGAGGAAAATGCTGTACCACTCTCCAGGAAGCTACTCAAATCGCGTACATTGCCAGGCTGTAGAGATTGCATACGCTTGTGAGCAGTTTTGACTATCAAGGACCGCTCGGGTGAGGGTTCAAGTCGTTTTGGGGGAGGATTCGTAATGTATGTATTTTCGCGAGCTTTTTCAGTCAACGCAGCATGTGCATTTTTAATAGCAGTGGAGGTGTGTGGTCTAGATGCGACAATTGGAGAGGAAGGGTTCATAGGAAGTGGAGGAGGAGCTCGTTCGGGATCAGAACTATCCCACCTAGACGCGGCGTATTAGCATGGTATTGTGCGAACAAAGAAGCCACCTTACATGGGGACTATGGCCCGGCTGACATCTGAGGAGGGCGTTTGCTGATGTCTAAGATATCTCTCGCTATCGCGCGAGCTATCTCGCTCTACGGAGGGCATGTTGGAATGTGGATGGCGGTATGTGGTATGAGGTATGTTGACGTGTGAAGTGGATGCGCCCGAATGCGCCTCAAATATTGAGCTTAGCTCACAAATCGCTCACAGAAAGGGCTAGCAACGTGTAGATGGAGTTCGAGAGCATGGGGACGTTTGATGGGAGGAGTTTGTGGTGTTATCGCGATGCGATGCGATGAGGTGGATATAGATTTGGCTCCAGCGCCTAGCAAATGCAGGGTGTTTTTGTTTACATGCGGATCCACCCAGCGACGAATCCAACCCAGCTATTATCCGGCTTTGCGGTCTTGGCATGCCACGTCGAGTCTCGGGCACAGCTATTTTTACACAGTACGAGTATCACACGATACGATTGTAAAGATACTTGGAGCACAGAAACGATATAGACAGGTTTCTTTTATGTTTGAAGCATTCTCTGGAGTATCACGGATGTCTTCTATTACCAGGAGGTCAGAGCAAATGGAAGAAGTTGTATAGGTAAGTTCGTGTGGATTTACAATATGAGTAGATGTTGAGCTTTGATTCAGATTCACACAACCCCGCAGTATGTAGACAAGAGAAGTGGCGGTAAATGGTCCTAACTCTAAAGTACTGAATGCGTACTTGGGGACACGGGTTTGAACAGGTAAAGCTGTCTGTTCAAAAAATGGACCAATTCGTTTAGAGCAATTCAAAAAGGTTACTCTAGTAGTTTAGAACAATTAGAGTACTTGGTATTTCATGTGGAAAGGTTGAACAATTGGTATCGTCGGCCGAGTATTCCAACTCAATTGAATTGGGTTCTCAATCTTTAGGGGCAATATAACAATCAGGACAGGAAACGGGTGCAATAACGGCTTCATTTTCTTGCCACTTGTCTGTTCAGGATGGTGATCGCATTGACTAAGGAAAGTCTAATCGTACCTAGGTATAAATGGTTATGGAACAATCACTTTAGCTTATTACGTCATGTATTTAATTGGGTATAGGTATGCAAAACCTTTGCCTAAACCAACGATAAATTTGTAGTAAGCATTTCCTCTTTCTTGTTCACTGTAACCTGGAAACATTCCACTACTTAGTGAATATCTACAACTAGGTACGTACCTTACAGCCAGCCACCTGGGCCATTATCAGTCAGGTGATTTCGTGTCGGATAACGATAAGGAGCTTATCAGTGAAACCGCCTTGAACATCAATCATATCACTTACTATTGCTCCTCCCCCTCCAACCTTTTTCACACAACACAACCTTCGGCTCCTCCAAACATCGTCTTCGCCATCACAGAATAAGTGACTTTCAACTAGTGAACAGCTCTTCCACGTGAAATCAAATCTCGACGGGATTGGCTAGCCAATCCCATACAATCGGCGCAATGCCCCCACCAAAGTCATTGCTCCAACGCCGTTGGGGACTTTCATCCAAAATCGCAAAACGTGCAACAGCTACAGACGGAAATATTTCATCCTCGGCCTCGACTTTCAGCCTCCCACGAGATAGCATCGAAAGAAACTCGGATGCAACAGCAAGTCCGCCAATGTCGCCCGGAAATTCTCTCGCGCGCGAGTTGCCTGATGCGCTCATCAACTTTGTCCTCGGAGTCGCTCCATGTTCGGAAACCCCGCGTAAGAGACAGAAGAAGAAAGGGGGTCAGGCAAGAACAATTGGAGAACAGCGGAATGTGTCGAGTCGCGAACCAGAGCTTCCGCATATCGAAGTGCGACAAACACTGTGGGATATAGCATTGTCGGGCTCGAAGCTTTCCAAGCTGAACCTTCCCAACACGATTGAGCGAAACCACGTTTATCCATATATCAAGGTGTTTGGTGGTCGGAATGCCGAATATATTGAGATTCAGGATGACTGGCGCCAAACCGTTTTCCACGCAAGCATACCAGAAGACGATGATGAAATGGAGCATGTGCGAGTTGCTCTTCGGGTTGATTATGATTCCAAGAAATGGGCAAAGAAGGAGGGGAAAATTTGGATTGATGTAGGAATCTCTTTAATCCAAAAAGAGAAAATGGACATTCTGAGAATTTCATTTACCATTTACTGGCATTGCACATCATCACCGCAGTCTATTATGGCTGCCAAAAACAAAATCCCGGCCCTCGAGGAAATACTACAAAAGTACTTCGCCACGGAATCGGATATCGCGGAGGACTCGAGCGCAAATTCCTGGAGCCCACAAGATTTCTACCAGAGTGTGCATGTGCCAGACAAGCAGGATAATGTTCCACAGTCTTTGATTATACCCGAGTTGGAATCCGATTTATATCCATTTCAAAAGAGGTCTGTTCAATGGATGCTGGGAAGAGAAGGCATGGAATATTCACCCAGCGACAAGAAGATTGTTGATTCCAGACGCCAAATTACCTCCACGTTACCACTTTCTTTCGTTCCAGCAACAGATTTCAAGGGAAAACCATGTTTTGTAAGCCACTTACTCGGTTTGGTAACACTGGATATTACACCTTTCAGGGAACTAGAGCGAACCTTAAAAGGTGGGATCTTGGCTGAGGAAATGGGGTTGGGAAAGACACTGGAAATGATATCTTTGATTGCTTTGAACAAACGACCCAAGCCATACCCAGAAGACATATTTGATCAGTTCACCTGCGCTTACGTCCGGCCAACTTCTGCGACCCTTATCATTGCACCTCCAACAATAGCTCACCAATGGATAGCCGAAATAAATAAGCACGCCCCGAGTTTGAAAGTTATACATTACCAAGGGATCAAGACGTTGGGAAATGGAGACAGAGATCTTTTAGCTTCGTCGGACATTGTTGTTTCTACTTACAAGGTTCTCGGGGATGAAATTTATTACACGCCGCTAAATCCCGAAAAAACGCTAAGAACGAAGTCCAAATACTCCCGGCCGAAATCTCCTCTCATGGAGTTGCAGTTCTTCAGAGTCATCATGGATGAAGCTCAAATGATTGAGAGAGTCGTAAGCAATGCCGCCGTCGTAGCTCGAATGGTCCCGAGAGTCAATGCTTGGTGTGTTACCGGAACTCCCGTCAGGAAAGACGTGTCTGATCTCTTGGGATTGTTGGTATTCTTACGTTATGAACCCTTTGCTTCCATCGACCACGTATGGTCTTCTCTGATTAACAGGCATAAGGAACAATTTCGAAAGCTGTTTGGACAACTGGCCTTGAGGCACAACAAAATCACTGTTCGAGACGAACTCAAACTTCCAGCCCAGCGTCGTTATGTTATTACCATGCCGTTTAATCCCATTGAGGAGCAGCATTACCGGGAACTATTCGATCAAATGTGTGAAGCCACGGGTCTTGATACTCAAGGCGCGCCTCTCAGCCCGGACTGGGATCATAGAGAGGTCGCGGATACCATGAGAAAATGGTTGGTTCGGCTACGACAAATCGCATTGCATCCCGAAGTTGGTGGTCGTAATAGGAGAGCGTTAGGCAACAAAGACGGACCAATCCGCACTGTTGTTGAAGTCTTGGAGGCGATGATTGAGCATGCAGATAATGTCAGCAGAACAGAGCAGCGAAATCTAATTTTGACGAAACTGAAGCGCGGCCAGCTCTTTGAAAACTCCCCCAGAGTCAGGGAAGCCCTTGCAATTTGGACCGAGACAGCTGCCGAAGCATCAGTTATGGTCAAAGAATTTCGTGCTCAGTTGCAGGAAGAATTAGTCAGAAGTGGAGGTAACCAAAAACCAGCTAGACAGGAAGATGATTCTGAAGGTGATGCCGAAGAGTAAGTCTTGAAGTCCTGTCTCCTGATCGATAGAAAAAGCGGCACTAAACCATGCCTTCTTGTTCCTTCTCTCTGAACTACTTGAGGCCATTCTAGATTGGTATAGTCACTTCAATTGTCTTAGGATGTTCAAGTGACCATTGCGATCAGTTGTCGCACGATGATCCCTTGAAGAAAGTGGAACAATTATGAATCCTGAGGTTTACTGCTACACTATCCGCCCACTACGAGTCTGTGCGATTGACCTGTTGCTGATCATTTGTGCTCTGTCGCAGCGTATCCTCACATGTAGGAAAACTCAGATCTCGAGTCCGCGGCGCTCTGGACTTACAACACATGGCCGAATTCTTTTGTGCAAACGCCTACTACCAGATCAAAACCAACAAGGAGATGACGATGCCAGAGTCCGTAGAGTTTGAAGCGTTAGAAAAACTAGAGGCAGAAGGTTATGAATCGGCAAAGACCATAAGACGAGAAATTCTTCAAGAGGCAAGTGGTGTGCCGCTCTCAGTCGTATACTTCTCATAATCTAGAATATGACTAACTCTTCTTCAATATTAGATCTATGGAAAAGCAGACAAACTCATGAGAAAGATTTCTGAGAAGGCCGATTCTAGGCTCTTTGCAGAGATTCCTGAATTTCCTACGGACAGTCCAGGGGGTGATACAGAAGGCGGTAGGATCATGGAAGAATTTATGAAGCTTGGAGAGTTTCTCGATGCACAGGCTCAACAACTCGATCAGTGGAGAAAAGAAACCATAGAATTTCTCCTCCGCCCACTCGTTGACGAAGAAGATGGTCTTGAAATCACAGGTGATGAATACGAAGAATCAACAAAGACGCAAGATGAAGTTATTGTCTATTGCACTGCTCTAAAGGCGGCTATCTCAGACCGGCGTGACGCTCTCGCAGGTGGGGAGAACACCCTTGTTAGGCACGAAGTGGAGTGGGCAATTAAATTGGCGAAGAAAGGCGAGGGGCATTTTCCAGAAAAGACTCTCGAGTTGCTCAATATTCGAAAACGCCTGAAGCCACCTAAAGACATCGTACGACGGTGCGTTGCCGAGTTGCGAGCCCTGACCACTTCATTGCGACCAGACGCTGAAATTGGGAATACACGCGCGCGAACCGAATTCAGCATGACTGAGATCCAACTGAAACATACGCAGAAGATTTTGAGTCAGCAGATGAAGGCTACGGCTGCGCTCGAGCAGGAGCTAGAGCTCTTCGTTATTACCATGAACACCCGCCTGGAGTACTATAAACAACTGCAGCACATTTCTGATACCGTTACTCCGGATGAGGTGCCCAATAATCTCGACGCAAGCCTTGCCAGATTGTTACATGTTGAACAAAAGTTGTGCAATAAGATCGCTCAAGCCAAAACGAAGCGTCGATTTTTGGAGTATCTTAAACAGCAAAATGAAAATCCACCAGAAGAGCAGATGTGTGTGATTTGTCGAGAATCTTTTGAAATTGGTTTTCTCACAGTTTGTGGTCATCAATACTGCAAGGAATGCATCACACTGTGGTTGAGTAGTGAGTTATAATTCATCACAGCTTAAAAGGTATTTGACTAACATCTCATCCAGCTCATCGCAACTGCCCCGAGTGCCGCAAAACCCTTAGAAAATATGATTTACATGAAATCACTTACAAGCCCCAAGAATTAACAATTCAAACTGAAGAAGTACAGGATACTCAGCGACGACAAACTCCTTCATCGAACTCGAGAAAGTCAGCCATCTATTCAGAAATTAGCAAGAGTCAGATGATGGAGATCAAGAGCATTGATCTCAACGGTCCCTCCTTTACAACAAAAATCGATACGCTTGCTCGTCATCTCATTTGGTTGCGAGACTCGGATCCTGGCGCCAAATCCATTGTTTACTCGCAATTCAAGGAATTTCTTGATGTTCTAGCTGGTGCATTTCAACGTTTCCACATTGGATATTCCTCAATTGATAGACCCAATGGCATCGAAAGATTCAAGGAAGATCCAGCTGTCGAGTGTTTTCTCCTTCACGCACGCGCCCATTCCTCCGGCTTGAATCTTGTGAATGCAAGCCACGTCATTCTGTGCGAGCCACTTCTCAACACGGCGCTTGAGCTTCAAGCTATTGCTAGAGTCGATCGTATCGGGCAACGCCAAGAAACGAACGTCTGGCTCTACCTTGTCGACGGAACAGTCGAAGAATCAATCTACCAGTTGTCGGTCAAGAGACGTATGGAACACCTGGCTGATCTTCCTACCTCGCCTCAAAGCAAGGGTAAAGGAAAGGGAAAGAGAAAAGCTCAAGAAGTCAGCGATGAAGAAGTCCTGGGTGTTGATCTCGAGGAGGCAAACTCAATGGAGCTACAACAAGTTACCTTGAACCGACTCTTCGACAAAGGTGGAAAAGGGGGAGAGCGCGTGGATGATGAGGATTTGTGGCAGTGTCTTTTTGGGAACGCATCGCAGAGAGCTGGAGGACAGTCGGGGTTGGAGGACTCTCTTGGTGGAGAGATGGGTAGAAATCTTCGAGCTGAGGCGGCGGAATTGAGAGAGATTGAGGAGCTTTGATTAGATATTTCGGATTTTGTGGGTTGAGAAAAAGAGTGTGGTTGTATGGAGTTTTGGGGGCGGGATTGGGTGTATGATAGGTTGTTGGTCGGTTGGGAGGTATTTGCTGGCTTCATACTTGGCGTTACTTCGTGATCGCGGCATCATTGGCGATATGATACACATGGCACAGTACAGTACAGTACAGTACATATGGGAAGGGCTGAATGGCAGGCAGAGAGGCAGACAGAACTCGCCGTTCAGCACACACATGAGATAGAGAGGCTTAGATACTGTAATGATACATTTCTGAAAGATAAATCAGTCAGATCAGTGCCCAGAGGAGATTTGTGATCTATGATGTCTTTTCACATAGGTACTGACTGATAAGACTGGAGAATCGGAGATTTGTGGTACATAGTAGACTGTATGTGGTACCGTAAGAGGCTTATGTGGGATGTCTTAAGAAAGTCAAATCGTAATAAAGCAACTCGGACTCGGACTCTCTTTCCTAGATGAATTAGATTGAGGTATCCTTTTTCTACAAAGTACTAATTAGGTAGGTAAATAATGAGTATCTAACATGTTCAATATCAATCTGCACATGCGGACGTGGGGATGGAGGAAATGGATGGTTTGTTCATACTGTAGTAGCTTTTTCCACTCGCAGAGGAAAGCGTGCAGAATTTCCCATTTTGTGCTGGTGTTTTGATATACGGAATTCCAGTCTACAGACGAAGCTCCGGGGTGTTTTGTTGTCTGGCTCCTAGCGACCTATCAGCGTTGACAGCTCATTAATATTGCAAGACAGTGTCAAGCGAATGTGTAATACTCATTTTCCTCAACGCTGAGATCGTATACAATCGAATATGGAACGTATTAGTTAATGAGTCATGGAGTATTATTTCTATTGCTCAATGCCTCTAGAATGGGTAGGGCACTGAAACGCTTTACCTCGAGAGTGGTACAGTATCATCAGGCCAAGAAGTATATTCTGCTGACATACTCGTACATGCGATGTTAATGGAAATGGAAACGGTACAGTTTGACCAAGAGGTCGTGAGTTAAGCTCCTACGCCAGTTATGCTATCCAGATTTCATATATCAAGAAGGATATATTAAATTGGTAATTCCTATACTAAATCCTACATAAGACTTCTATAAACCACAATTCGACGCCGCCCAATGAATCCCTGATAGTACCTCATCCCAAGTATCCAAAAAAGAGATTCGGTATCGCATAGCCAAATTACCATTACTCCATCACCCGCATGCAATTGCCCAGAGTGCCTCCCAATGTCCAACCCCATCCCATCCCTTCACCATCCCCGTACCCGTGCCCACCAAACCCAGATCCCAAAACCCACAAAAATCAAACATCCTTCAGCAAAGTAACATACCCTCATGCCCTTGTCTCTGAATCCATTCCTCTGCACTCCCCGGCATGATTCCACCATTCACATTCATGTTGAAATTCCCAAATTTATCCGTACCCATGCCCCCAAGTTGCTGCCCATTAACACCGTTCCCATTAACTTCCTCCACATTACCCATGCCCATACCCATACCCGTAGCCAAAAGATCCATTCGAATACACGCCAATTTAGCAACTTCCCACGTCTGACTTTGCAACCGGAGGATAGAGCGGTAATGCGCGATGGTGTGGGACCAGAATTCAATGTCGGAGGGGGAGATGGAGGTTAGTAGTTGTTGAAACATGAAAGATCCTAGCAGGGAGAAGGAGACGCGTGATTGTGCTTTTTGGGGCGTTAGTTTAGTTACGTAGATCGAGAACGTAAATAAAAGAGGAAACTTACGACACCACCAGAAAGCTCTTAGCCTGCCGAGTCCCAATTTCTCAACAAACGAAACCACGCTGACGAGAACCGTCTTTGCTTGATCCCTCACACCCTGATAACTTGGGTTATTGATATCCAGGACCCTGAGAACAGCTCGGTAAAGCACTGCTTGAACCGTGTAAAATGATAATACTGTAGTGCCCGTGGAATCTAAAACCACTTGTCCCATCCCTGAGCTAGATTGTGGTGATCCAATGTTATACAATGGAATCAAATGTGTTTCGTGAAACGTATGGAGTCTTGATTGAAACGTGTCCAAAAGAGAAAATATTGTCGATACCGGTAAAGCCCTTAGGATGTCATGCGATTTGAGAGTGTAAAATGTTGAAAGTATGTCGCTTAAAATCGTCGTGAGGTGTGCCATGGTTATAAATTGGAGAGCTGGTCCTATACCTATGTTTTCGCCTTTGAGTCCGGTATGTGAGAAATTCGAAATTGTTGGCAAAGGAACGTTGCTATTCTCATCGTTAAGATAAGACGGGCGACCAGCACCTAATGCTGTCCATTTGTCTGTGATGTACACACCCCACCATATTCGTATTCGACGATTACAATCTGCCTGCGATAGACTCCAACTAAGTGGGGAGATATTTAACCCGAGATCGTTTGTTAAACCAACAAGAGCGCCAACATCCGGATACCAGGCAGGCAGGACAGGAGATTGCTGTATCGCAGGTGTACGATGCAGATGCAGAAGCGATGCTTCAAGGGTTTCTAATCGGGGATGTCGTTGTTCGATAGGTAATCTGAGTAGTGTTAATAATTGTTTTTGTTTTTGTGGTGACGAGACTGACGCTTGCTGAATAAAATCATTTAGAGGCGGTTCGAAAAAGGGAGGCGAGGCTTGGCAAAATGGGTTGGCGAGGTTGTACATTACCGCCATTAGCGGATCGCCGTTTGGCAGTGGTTTCTCGAATCTCGACGGGTCAAGAAGTGGATAGGAAACGTGTACAACTTCAAAATAGGTTCTTAGTAAATCGTTCCCATATGGTGCAACGATTGCCTCTGTATCTGTAATAGGGTAATAGTTCGGTCTTGCGTCTAATTGAGTATCAGGTACAACCTGTCGTTTTTGCAATTAGTATCGACCCACTGAAACAATGCGCGAGAAAAATACTTACGGTGAAATGCAACGGTAATTCACTGTCGCCTTTGACCCTCAGAATTGCCCAATTGTGCGCTTTGTAACAATTTAAATGATTGAATGAACAATGCCTCAACACATATGGGTCCTGGTCCCCGCTCATTCCAACAACCTGACAGATCCATTCTGGTTTACTTTCCGGAACTGAACTCGGTAGAATCTTTTGACGGTTCGCCTGTGAAGGAAAAGCTCGGGGTGAAGAGGCTGCTCTGTTGCCTCCTGAAGTTCCCGGTCTCGAGCCAGACGCGGAGGTGGATGCAGACTGACGCGCCGTCGAGACTTGCCGATTTCGACGTACATTGGGCGGGAGAACATATGTGCAGCTTTCCCCTCTAGTTTTGCATAGCGAGCATGCGTTTTCGTAGGCATCTCTTGTACAACATATTTTCCGTTTGCGGCATGCATCACAACTAACAATCGTGTTAGTGGCATGTTAATGGAACTTACCCCACGGAAACTCACGGTCTTTCCTTTCTCGACTTGTACTTGCGCCCAACATTGACTTGACTTTCTGGGGGGCCTGCTCCGTGCATTTTGTCCATAGACGCGGTCAATGGAAAGGTGGGATTGTTTATTGTGCCCTCGGTCTGCTGGTGGTTGGTCTTCGTCGGAAAAGCGCAGTACACAGGCGTCACTCGATGACTTTAGCATGGGCAGAATAGGTTCACAAAAATTGGCAAAAGACCCAGGGAAGTCGCACAAGATGTATTAACCAGATTCTGAACCCCACAGTTTACTCCGAGTCCCTTGGGGCGTGCGGAGAAACGATAGCCACCGCTACGCAAGGACATCACAGAGCACGTTCCCTATCCCACTTTGAACCCTGCAGCTGTCAAAACCCCATGAGAGGATCGAGAGATAATAAACTCTTGGAGACCCCGAATCCACAATCTTGCCTAAAGCGTTGTTGACAGTGTAGGTTTATCGTAAACGTAGCGATGAACCATCAGCATGAGCACCGGTTCGTCTCGAGTGTCGAGGAAGTTTAATAAAGGACACCATGCCAGTCGTTTTACACTTTCAATTCACGCCGCACTTTCCGTCTGGTGACTTCCATACTATGTACTTTATCATGCTCTTTGAAACAAAGAAGCACCAAGAATCAAGAAACTGCCCCTCTTTCTAAGTAACCCCGGTTCTGAGTACGAAGCGTATGCAGGTGGAACGTGCTAACATACCGATATCCACATTCCCGAGTAATTAGTTCGCTATCACAAGAGAAATCGCCTGGGAAATCCTAGCTGGGCGGTGGACGTGGAGGATCTTCGGTGCATGAATAGAGTTTGGAATTCCCAGGCTGCTAAGAAAAACTTCTCATAAATGACCCATGTGTAGGGGAGATAAACTCTCCGGACTCAATTTCCTTGTAATTTCAGCGACACGTTCCAGCAGTTTTCAGGAAAGTGTCGATGCTTAGATAAGAGCCGTCAGCCTTTTGATCACGAACTGCAGTTCTCTGTGATTAAGGTTTCCCCTCTTAATTGCCTTCTTCTTTCATCGTTGATTCGTTGCGGAGCGATGGGGTTAAGCAGCTTGAGTTGTCTCACTTCCCAACCTAGTATGGGAACACCCTTTCAAGCTATTCCTAAAATTGGGATTGGACTAGCCGAATACGCGCTACCGAAAATTTAAACGTCCCAAGGCGGATGGCGATCAACATCCACCGCCCAAGTCTGAAGTCTGAAGGGATCGGGTTTGAATTGACTTGGCGTGATACTCTCGAGGCTGGGTTTGCGGGGACGATGTCTTCTTGATGAGCGCGTGTGCTCTTGGGTGCTGCTCCTACTCCTCCGAACAAAAGACCAAAATATACGAAACCCGCAGGAGTCAAGAACATGGCGCAGGAATCAGAGACGCAAGCGCGCGATAATGCGAGTAATGGAAACGAAAGCTTGATGGAAATATGCTTCTTCCATTTTGCAGGCTCCAATTCTAAATGTCTAGACCTTTAACACAAAGCCATAGGACGACAGGGACGACCACGTTGTCATTCCCGCCAGTCAGGACAGCCTCTGTAAGACTCGCAATACCGGCGGCAATACACGCCTTAGCGGCAGTCATCGCCCATGGATCCTCGTTGTTTGCTGGCCAATCCCCAATTCTAAGCCATAGTTTCGCAGCAATCAACGCCATGTGGACTGCTGCAGCGAATGCCACACTGCCTTCAACACTTTTCCCACCGCCCCAAACCCATTTTCGACGGCCAAACCGTCTTCCTATTAAAGATGCCGCCGCATCTCCTAAACCGACGCAGATAACACCACTAACCATGCTAACTTCTCTGATGGGCACCTCCCAGCCAAGAGCAGAATTCGTGCCAGTGCGAGGTAAGGTCCCAAGAGAAAGCCATAAAGGAATAGCACAACCAATGAGAAGGAAAATATGTGAAATAACTACTGGTCCTTTAAGGTCCCTGCCGTCCACATAAGGAGTCAGAAAATGAGCCAATGATTTCGATAGCGGGGGAAGTTGAGTTGCACGAAACAAATCTAGCAGGAGAAAAATAGCCAACATCAGGGAAAGAGCGAGTGCTGCAAAGGTCGGGTCTACGAATGTCGCTGGGAGAAGCATAGCGACCATCATAAAGTGGAAAACTTTTCTTCGTGTGTCAACTTCGTAAATGGCAGACAATCGATACACAACTGAAAGGCCGACAGTGATGATTCCTAGCCAGTATCCGCATAGAATTAGTCGAGTATTTGCCTTCCCAAAAGAAGCATGCCTCAAATGTTCTACCCATCCTAAGAGACATGATTCCTGGTTCTCAGGCCCGCTAAGGGTTGGAAGTATGATCCACCGCTGAAGGTTGGCTGTTACAACATGCATACGGAACCACGGAATATCCCCAAAAAGATATCCTAGGGCCCATCCAATTGGCTCATTTCCGTCCAACGCAAATATTGCAATGTACTCTCGGATGCCCCCCAAAATTATGACAACTATACAAGCATACACCCAGGCCGCATAAAGCCATTTTCTCATACTTGCTTGAGATTGAGTAAGTGAGAAAAAGGATTGTACACTTGAAGAAGCAGATCTTTTCTTCCGACCCGAAGGTGTTTTTTGACTTGATCTTTCCGGGACATGAACGGCGGCGGGAAGCGTATGTCTTCGTTGTAGCCCAATACTACCATGATCTGATGGCCCATTGCTAATTGTATTCCCTTTCGCGGTGTCAATAGCTGAGATGGAACCATTCTGGATTTGTTGTGCGGGTGTTGTGTCGCGAGTCTTTAGCACAAGGTTTGGTGAGCTCGTTTTACTTGTCCGCGAATCAAACAATTCATCAGAGCTTGTTTCGCAGTCAAGTTCCTTTTTGGAGATCAAAGTGCTAACACCTAGCCAACTTTTCCAAATTGTCGACTTTTTTGCTTTCCAGGGCACTTCTGACCGCCTGAAGCGCCATTTAGGCACTCTTGCCAAGGTGACACCCCAACCAAGCACTTGGGTGCAGGTAATTAGTATGCCAAATCCGCATCCCCAAAGAACGGACTTGAGAATTACAGCTTGCGGAGACGTACCAAGCAGGAGCAATTCTATCAAGGATATCGATAGTAATTGTAGCTCTGCGGGTAGTAAACTAGTGGTCGTGAGGTAATGCAGAGTATCACAGAGGGCCAAGTGCAACGGGTGCAAGAGAACTAGGTTTTCGATGTTGAACCCAATAGGGCTTGTTTTCGGTGACTCCAATAAAGTAAGAACAGAGTCATGCTTTACGAGAAGAACAGGTAAGCACGAAAGGAGCCAGTGACAAATATTTCCACCTTCTGGACCTCCTGTGGATGGTACAAGTTGTTTCGGTAGCGAACAAATTCCCAAAATGATGCTGGGTAGCAGCCCAACTGGGTTACTCGCTGATAGTAGTAGCGAAGCCAGTATCGTGACGACCGAGGGGTACAGCAAAGGAGCTGGGTCGAAGGCAGAAGGAATTGCAATTTGAAATGGCCTCTTCCAAGGATTGGAGGGATTTATATGGCGTAGCAATCGAAGAGGATATATAGAAACGAGAGATATTGTTATAAGAAACTGACATATTAATTCTTTACCCATTAGCGCAGCTCGTCTGAACCAATCTTTGTGAACTCACCCCTCCTCCATAACCATATGATTTGCCGCACTTCTGAATTGAGACAAACTATTCCACCAACAGCCCCCAAAATGGCCGTCTCGGAAATTCTCCTTATTATCTCTACTTTCCGCTTGCGTCGAAACTTATCGGTTACTTTACGAGTATCCTCACTCTTCTCAGCCAGAGAATTCACGCGGGCGTAGCCAATTCTTCTAGATATGTCCCCATCCTGAAAAGCAGGAGAAGGTAAAGGACTCGGTGATCCGGAAAATGTCCCATCGCTCCCTCGGAGCCCTTTGTGTGGTTTAAGTCGGGGGGCTGGCAACCCCTTCAAGAAATGTTCATCGTCTGCCTCAGTACCGCTATCGCTGGGTGTGGGATCGTGATAGCGCCGGGCGGAGAGACGTGTCCTCTCTTGGTTGTCATCATCATCATCGTCAGTATTCTGCCTCGAGGCCAGAGGTGACTTTCTCGCAGGCGCATAACCGCTAATCTTCTCCGAGGCATGGGGCAGTTCGAAGCGCTGGCGATGATACGGATGAGGAGACCGGGACAATCGTCTCAAAGCCTCTTCTCGTTGGTTTTCGGCATGCGATTGTTGTGATGGTGGTGGGGGTATAGGTATGGGCATCAGATGCTCTGGCATCGCGAGCTGGGGGCCGATTGTTGAGGGAGACTTTCGGGATCTGGTTCGATCATGTCTCTGCGCTTGCTCGGGGATCAGAGATTTCGAAGTCGCATAGGAAATTTCGCGTATTTATTAGGGGTAGAGGTATGTGCCAGTGAGATGTCGAATTTTGAAGCTGATTGTGCACAGCGCCTGCAGCCATTTTTCGATTCACGTGTAAAGTGGTGAGAATTTGTCGACGCAATTAGCGCGGACGCGGACACATTTTGCCGATAGGTACTGGGTACGCCGCTGCTGGCGCCCACGCCACACGAGTGAATTGGCATATTTACGATTACGTCATGCCGTGAGATGGGTAGAGGTATGTATACTTAATATGAGCCGCATTTTAAAAAGGGGAGAGTGAAATGTGCAAACAACCTTAAGGAAGGTTGGAAAAAAAGCTACCAGTAGATTCCAATGCTAGTTGGATTTTAGTCATCAAAGTCAACTTCACTTCTCGCTAAGCTTGTTTGTATGACCGACGCTTCCGAGTTGGTATGAATGGTTTAACATTTGGACTAGTAGTGCCTTGGGGAGCCATACTTCGTATATATCAAACTACCCAGGATTTTTATATCGGATTCATAGCGGTGTTCGAATTCACGAATGTTTCCTACTCCTATATTTGCTACAGATATTGTAATCATGGACTAAAATAAATGTTATGATCAGAAATATTCATGCGATTCGCCGTCTAATCAATCATGCAGCTCATATCCGTTGAGGGCTCAGTCAGGTACGAGTTCCCCTTTTGATTTCAACGCGAACAAAATAGTGGGATTTCTTCATTATTTTTATTACAATCGTACTAATTGAACTCATTGTTGGAAAAGCATGTAGTAATGCCTTAGTGAATTCTTCTCCAGCTTTCGCTGAGAAGTCATAGAGTTTTCTAAATTTGGATACTTCACGAAAGTTGAAGCAGCTTGGGTTACTTAGATCTCTGTAGACCATATACAAAATTCTGTTGTATTGGCCCATACCTGATTTGCAAATTACAGCACCGACATGTTGTCACCCAAACCCCTCCGTGATCCAACCCACATCTACGTACTTCGTAGAAGTACCGACCCGTGGCCCGTGTACGGAGTCTAGTCTACGACTCTACGCAATTTACATCCTAACTTAAAGCGGGCCTCGCGAGCACAGACGCCTGCGGCTGCTCGTAGAGCCCCTAAGGACAGCTGGCTAGTACCCCCCTGTTAACTACCCAAAAAGGGTAATTAACGATTATTGGTCAGATATACCTGGTTAGTATCCACCTTACACTTGGCTACCTAGGTACTCTACGATTATAGTAGGTAAAAGTTAACTAAAAATTATAGGCTTAGTATGAAATTATATCTACAAATCTAGTGCTTTCTAATAGTACTATTATCTTTTCGATATTTGCTTTATTAGTAAAGATACTAGCGTTTTTATTATTTTGTGATTTCGGGTGTTGTCGCTCTTACTAGTATATACTTGGCTACTCCGCTATCCCACTTAACTACTCCACTATACACGATTTACAGGCCTTGTATGGCCTCTAGTACTAGCTAGCTGGCAAAAAGGGTAATTAACGATTATTGGTCAGATATACCTGGTTAGTATCCACCTTACACTTGGCTACCTAGGTACTCTACGATTATAGTAGGTAAAAGTTAACTAAAAATTATAGGCTTAGTATGAAATTATATCTACAAATCTAGTGCTTTCTAATAGTACTATTATCTTTTCGATATTTGCTTTATTAGTAAAGATACTAGCGTTTTTATTATTTTGTGATTTCGGGTGTTGTCGCTCTTACTAGTATATACTTGGCTACTCCGCTATCCCACTTAACTACTCCACTATACACGATTTACAGGCCTTGTATGGCCTCTAGTACTAGCTAGCTGGCGTAAGAGGCTCTGCCAACTCGTTCCTCGTTGTTGAGGCCTGAGGCTCTTATAGTAAGAATGCGCAATTTATAAAAACTTCGGTGAAGTAGAACTTCCATAAAGTGGTACCACCTCGTATACCGGTCCAACCACGGCTTGGACTGCTGACCGACGTGTCATAAATGAGATGCGATAAGCGAGAACGCGATTTATCGCAATACTTCGTAACTGGAGCGGACAGCTCGCGTGGCAACGCCCCTGCAGACGAGATTCTGAAGCGTATAACCCCACAATACAATTTTCTGAGCCAATTGGGTTGTTGAAAACGTATGAAGGTACCCATATCACAAAAATTAACAAGGGGGTGGCGATCCGAGGTGTTCCATCGAGCCCCATCGCCAGAGTACTCTCAAGTAAGTGCATGGACAGTTAGAGCTGCCGCCCACACGTAGATCATATGTGAGATCCATAATGTCTAGCTCCGAGTCTCCGTTTCGCTAGATTTGCTTAAAAATCAGGGCCTAGACATACTATCAACTTGTAGGGCGCGACCCTCTTTACTTTGTATATTGAAAAACTTCGTTACAAGACGCTCTATAAGTATACCTCAGTTATATCCTCGAATCTCTATGTCCCTAATTGTTTTTCATGCCTAAAACAGCCTTGCAGTAAGGACAAGCTCTGTTTGAAGGTACCCTTGGGGATACCGGCCCCGACCATATTCTAGTATCAAGGTTCTTCCCCTTAGTCTGCCCATTCTCTTCGGGTCCTGAAAAAACTTCCGGATTCGTACCGAGGAGACACTATTTTGAACAACAGGTTTCTTACTCTACAAAATTCAGAAAAATATATAAAAAGTACTAGTGGACTCAAAATTAACCCATCTATATTTTCACTAGTACTTATGTATCTTTTTAGTTACGTTGTCATAATTTAATGTTTAAAAGGTGCGACAACAAGTGTGATTTGGGAGGAATAAAATAGGAAGTTTTTTCAGGACCCGAAGAGCCGTTGTTATTCATAAACTATGCGCTCTGTGAGCTAGTCTAGCGTTGCGCAACTGGAATAAGATTCCACAGATTTCCAAAACCCTATGCCATCTAGCATCCTTCTACGAAGCAGAGCTCCTTCCAAGGTAGCGTTTAGCTAGAATGCGAGTGCAACAGAGCTCTTGGAAGCGTCCCCCTACTTTTACAACACTCACTTTTTTCAAGTGTTTTACGGTCTGTTTGGCTCAGAGTGTAGGATTGTAGTCCATTTGGTAGTGTGCCCCGTAATAAATAAATATTAGTAAAACTCTATTCGCTTATCGAGTATACACTGGATAATACATTCGTATCGAATACCCTTCAGAGTGAGAACATTTCTAAGCATTATCTCACTTAGACGTGTAGTCGCAAATTTTGGTGTTTCGATAATTGTGTTGTAGTTATTATTGTCACTACTACTATTAAATAAATAGACAACACTACCTGCATAGTTAATCATATCTATTTCACTCATTTCTACTACTAACATATACTCTTATATGTAATAGCGGGTAAAGTGGTTGTGTTTATTATAGGTAAAATAAGCGAGATAGGTTTAGAAATAACAAATATAAATTTTACGTAACTTTTATTATTAAGTACATCTCGAATAAAGCGAGATTTTTAAATTCATTGAATCATTATAGTATGTACTTTATATCCGATATACGAGTCAAATGTTTCGTATACTTTATACTAAATAGATCGTTACTTCGTCCCAGGTAAAGTGTCTGGACAGCTCGCGTCTTCCACCCTTTGAGTACAATCTTTATAGGAAGGTTTTAAATCCGCAATCCAGCCTTCTAAGCAAATTGAACAGTTCAATGTATGTAGAGGTAAATTTATATAAGAAACTAATCTAAGGAGAGACCCGAGCTGTCTGGACCATTACACAGTCCCCTATGCGGAGTTTCCCAAAAAGGTATATTTTTAGATAAACTGCGTAAGTATTTTTCAAGGCCCGTTCTTTAGCGAAAACTTCTAATTGAAGGACTATCTATAAGTGAGTTGACTTTTTGTATATTCGAGCCGGATTTCTAAAGATAAGTCCATTTAAACCTTTTTCGGAAACTCCGCAGGCGGGACTGTAGTAACTGTAAATCTTCTAGGATAGGTAGCCTTACTGTGATAGAGTACAGGGTGACTCGTACTTCGTAGTACAGTAAAAGTTACAATGCTTATGCGTAGGACGAAGTATGTTCCTGAGGATAAAACAGCGAGGGACAAGTATTCCAGAAATCAACACCTATATCGAACACATCTACATCCACTTGGTAACGACGCCATTCCTAAAACTTTTCTTGAAAGTCTTCTAATCTAATTTTTTGCATAACTACTACCGTGATAAATCGTCTCTATAGCATTTGGGTAGGACGACAGTAGATGGTACTAAGGGTTATCTAGAGACTCTAAGTAGCTAGAAGTCTACGGCGAAGGCCTTCTTAGGTTGCTATCTTATACGTTAAAGATTACAGTTAGATTTTACTACCTAGGGGCCTATAGAAAGCTGACCTGTAAGTAGCTTGAAAGGCGATTTTACTAACTTGTACTACTCCTAAGCGCTATCTACTGTCGTCCTACCCAAATGCCATAGAGACGATTTATCTCGGTATTAGCTACTGTGCCAAGAAAGAAGTATCACATCGATTCTTCTTACAATATACAATTCCGAAATCTCCCTATTCTCGCCACTTTGGCGACTATTGTCTATAGTGCGGCAACTACAGTTCCCGGCTACTACTTTGCATTTTGTCAAGACAATACTTTAAGTATAATCTCTCCTTTAATCTAGACAACTTTGGGTAATCTTACAAAATACTACGGTTGAACTTATGTCTCTCTCAACTAGAATAAAACCTCATCTTGATATCATATAGAAATGAGTCTCTAACACAAAGCGATAGCTAGGGGGACACACTTATCCCAGCGACTGAAACCGTATGTGGAGGAGAGGGGACACAAATCACTACCTACCTACCAACATACCTACCTATAAAAGCCCCTCAAAACCATCCAAGAACTTGATTTAATAGCTCTATTTCTCATCTATATCAATTAAAAATTAAGAGGCAACCTCAAATCGATGGCATCTCAAGTGTCTAATTAACCCCCCGATAGCGACGAAAGCCAGTCTACCAAATCCACAAACAATGCACAAAAGATATTCACAGTGCCCACATATAATGAACACAAAAACAAAAGACTCCCACTAACAAACTTTCATATCAACAAACAACCCTCCCTCCTCCCAGCAAATCAGTAGAAATGGTCAAGTGGAGGGGTCACTGATCTTGCGAGATAAACCAACTTCCTGAACTCAAGAGGCAAAAGAGATGTAGGGATGGAGAGTTAGTCCAAGCCTTGTGCTTGTTTTTTGCCATTTTTTTAATATTTTTGGGAGTCTCTTTTGGGTTTCGTTTGGGGGCTGAGTATTTTTTGCGGATGCTGAGATTGGATGTTCTAGGTTAAGATTTGGACGGGGAGGGGGTGAATAGGTGAGGTGCGGACTAAGACACGTCTTCGCTTATTTGATTATAGTAATTGTCTGCCTGACTACAAGTTAGCTAGATGCGGCGATTGCGAGTTACGGGGACCATCTGCAATGTGCTGGAGTACTAAGAGAAAGATTGATCGCCACTAGGTACACATTTCTCGACCCTTAGATATAAATCAAGGAAAACTAAGGCTATTACAATATAGTGACTGAAATCATGTAGAGAACAAGGTGCTACGACAACAGGTGGATCATAGTTGGGTAGGTAAGTTAGAATTATAAGAAAGGCTGCTTTCCTGAAAGATCAAGAGATAGAACAAGATTTGGAGGAAAGAGAGTAGTAGATCTAACTGTAGTTATATACCTTTTATTCCAAATAGATAGAGGAAGGAAGGGGATCCCTATTGTATGGGACGGAATATCAGTTGCTGAACACTGACCTAGCCCTCTCTCTCTCTCTCTCTCTCTCTCTCCGCGGCTCTCTGGTACATTACTCCCAAGTCTTCTAAATAACAAACCAGCAAAAGCAACAATTATATACTAAAACTTACCCTCCTCCATATCCCCTCTTAGCAAAACAACTTACTTTACCTTCAAGGTTGAACTTACTTAGTATTAAATGACTGTCTATACCATTCTTCTCGTTTCTAGGAGTTTCATTTAGCTTCAGAGGTTTAAGTCAAAGAATCTGACCTAAACTCATAGCTCCCAAGCAATTTCCGTCACTCTTCCACCTCAATTTCCGTCCTCGGCGGGATCATATCTACAAATTATTCTTCGTAGTCCATAGATACGTGTATAACAACATCTTTCATCCAGCGTTTCTCGAAAATTCGAAATCCATACTTACAAACAAGTCGCCACATGGCCATGGTCAAAGACAAGTCTGACTTGGTAAAAGCCCACAGGTGGCAATTTATCACATTACATAAAGAATCCATGAGATAATACTTTTATTTAGCTACATAGCTTGCCCGGGGGCTCTTAATATCAACCGTAGTACCTTATGCTCGGAATTTACAGAACGGCCCCAAGAAGGAAAAGTTAATGAGTTTTCTCATGTCAATAATACTGTACTGTACAATGTAAATTCCAAGTAAATCACCCAAAAAGCCTACTCCCAAGATACTTAAGCCCCATATTTTCTCTGTCAATTACGTCTATTCTACTATAAACTCTCTATCACTTCTCAGAGCCAATCCACTCAGGCAAAAAGAGTTTTGCAAGCTAATCCTTTTCTTCTTCATTCCAAGCATTCTTTCAAATTCCTTATAAGAAATTTTTGAAAACCGGATGAATTTTGTATTATGCAAGAGATCCAACTTATTCCCAGAGAGTTTAGAGAGACTTTGGTGAGATTCGTTATTTCTATATGTAAATCATACTTACTTCATAAACATTGAAATAGATAAATTCCTAACACCATAGTATACTCTCCGTTAATTATATATATACGAAGAGTACCAGATATCGTCATGAAAAGAATCCAGCACCCAAGAGTTCCGCAGAAAGGTAGAAGAGAACTTGACATATCTTTTTGAGGCTTGGGATAGATAGCTTCTGATCTCTATTGGCAGTATAAGCTTCCGTAGTTCAACTATACCAGATGTTCTTTCCTCGCAAGATATGCTCAAAGCAATAGGACGGAGGTGCGGAATCCTTCCCCAATGGAGGAACCACCTTCCACCTTCCACCTTCCACCTTCCACCTTCCACCTTCCACCTTCCACCTTCCACCTTCCAACATCCAACAAAATAGGCTAATTCCAGCACAACACCCATTCATCCATCCATCTATCCCCATTTATATCAATCTAACCTTCCAAAGTCCATCCATACATCATCACAAATCACAAATCAAACATCATAGGCATCTCCCTCTTCTCATATCTACCTACCTACACTAAAGTAAAGTATCTTTCCAGGATAACGAGTAACATCTATCCATCTATCCATTTATTCACACGAGCAAATGGCTTTAAAAATTAAAATTCGGTAAATCTATATTAAGGCATTTTCGTAAACTGGTAGGTATGATGAATAAGATACTCTATTATTTTCACTAATTTATTATTAAGTTAGTCTTTTTAAATATAGGCCCAGGGTTAGGGTCAGGAGTAGGGGTTCCTTAGGTAAAGTATTGTGAATTTGTGTCTGGTTTAGAAAGTGGGAAGTGGAAGTGGGAAGTGGAAGGGAAAAGTTTGAGGAGGATGGTTTTGATGTGGGGATGTGAGGTGTTTTGAGCTGGAGGGCGAGGGGTGAGATGAGGGGAGATGAGAAGGTAGGAAGATTGTTGGGTATGTACTGTGCAGTACGAATTGTGTTTTTGACATAGTTAGAAGGAGGAAGATACAGATCTCAAATGCATATCCAACATATAAAAAAAACTCCACCAACTTCCTTCCACACAAACACCACAAAGCCAAGACCCGAAAATCACAAAATCACAAAACATGGAACGTAGACTTCTCAAAACAAAATAATATTTACAACCACACAAAAAAGCAAATCTACCAGCTCTCTAAGCTAATCTACATACACTGCGAATAATACGGATTCTGCACAACACAAGTCGACCCCTCCGCACACTTCGTACTCCCCGTAAACCCCGTCCCACCACACTGTCCCCAAAAAGCCACCGTGCCAACCGCACCACCATCCGTACCCGGAGCAGGCGTAGGAGTCGCAGCAGGACGTGTACTAGACGACAAAGTCGTAGGTATAGGCGAAGGCAAAGATGGCAACGGCGTCTCCTCCGGAGCACCAGCACGAACCTCCTTGGCCGCAACGGATCCCGAGGATCCCCCCAACGCGGCGACGACAGCGTGGTACGCAGCCTTGGGCTTCAGATCTTTGTCGTAAAGAAGCGCGTCGCCGGCGCCGGGGAAGGTAGATGGAACCCAGGAGTACTTATCGGTGTAATCCCAGATCGTGACGCCGACGCACTGCTCGACCGCGAGACAGGCGTTGATGGTGTTGACGTAGTCGTCGGATTGCTTGGTGAGAGCGGCTGCGGAGGGTGGGAGGGAGGAGTGGCGGATGTCGAGCTCGGTGTAGGCGACTTCCACGCCTTCTTTGACGAAGGCTTCGAGGTTGGCGGTTTGCGCTTTGAGATCGGGGGTGGAGCCGACGATGAAGTGGGCTTGCATTCCGACGCCGTCGATTTTGATGCCGCGGGCTTTGAGGTCCTTGACGACGTTTAGTGCGGCGGTGGATTTGCCGCCGGCGTTTTCGATGTTGTAGTCGTTGTAGTAGAGTTTGGCTTGGTCGTCGTGGAGAGCTGCTTCGGCGAAAGCGATGGGGATGTATTCTGGTCCAATGATTCTGTTTGCTTTGGATTAGCAACTTGGTAGTGAGATGGAGGGGAGTGAGAGACTAACTTGTGGAAGATACTGTCTCGGTATCTACCATCTTCTTCGAAGGCTTCGTTGACGACATCCCAGGCATAGCACTGGCCCTTATAATGTGTCATGACTTCCTTAATATGGTTCTTCATGACCGCAGTAAGAGTCTCATTAGTCCAAGAACCACCCGTAACTAAACATCCTGTCAGTCACCATCCAAACCTCAAAAACCACACAATCCCCAAAAACAAACTCACCCTAAGAAGGCAACTGCGAGTACCAAACCAAAGTATGACACCTCAACATCTGCTTATTCTTCGCCGCAAAAGCCGTAATCACATCCCCCTTCTCAAACGTAAACGTCCCGTGATCTGGCTCCGTCGCATCCCATTTCTGCGAGTTGCTCGGAGTGATCTGTCCAAACTCGGTATTCTTCGACAGAATCTCGACGTAGGGCGCATCGCTAAGCTCCCCGTTATCAGTGGCGCTGCCAAAATACTTCCACCCCTTCGCTTTGGCGAGTGTGTCCAGCTGGGCAAATGCTTGGGGAAGCAGCGCTGCTGCGGGAAGAAGAAGAGAAAGATGCATGTCTACAAGTACAGCTTGTTTATCAAAAAAAGGTGGGAAAAAAGAATGTATGAGGGCTAGGACTCAAAGAGTGTGAGGGATGGGTGAGGAGAGAAGAAAAAGCCCGCGAAGTAGGCCATCGCATCTATCTATATATGAAGATGAATACCGGCAAAGGATTCTTCGTCGCCAGTTTCAAGCTGCTAAATGAGGCTTTAATGTGGAGATCAACAAACGGGCGCGGGGACGGAGGACCCTTGTGTATAAACATTCTGCGGGCCTCACACCCTCCGCGTGACCAATGGGGAAACAAATCCGTGGGGGGTGGAAAAACATATGAGATGGAAGAGTCCCAATTTGGGGTGCAAGAGGGGTAAAATAAGAACAGAACGGGGTTATGCTTGGAGGGATCTCGTCGGGGTTTCGTGGCTGAATGTGTTTCGGATTGACTTTCCGTCCGATGGATGCATGATGGATGTGATGGGAGAAGGGGACCACTTGGACCCCTTAATAAGGTAATTTGCCGAATAGCTTGCGTACTGTACTGTAGCATGTGTGAGTTTCAAGTGGAGGTGGGATGAATTGAGCTTTTGTTTTTGTGGAAAGGAAGTCCTGGAATATAATGGGAGTGCTATCTAATCTTTAATGTCAGCCCGTCAATGCTAAGATAACCCTCATGTTTTCTGTATGTTAAAGGCCCTATAGAATCAACTAATTGTTTTGCTATTAAAGTACGTTTTCTGTCAACCCAAGTCCAAGCTTCACCAAGATATATCAAGCCTGTGCTCAAACTATGACAGGCTCTACCTCCGTAACGTATTCGTCTTTGTGAGAACCTCGCCGCGGCTTCTCTCTATGTATTTTTTACAAATACAAATCGTGATACAAATCGTGATACATTCCACATTTGGGTTGCTGCTACTGCTTTTAGTCTCAAAGACTCAGCATGTAGATCCTCAACAGACCTGTCCTGTTATAGCCAGAAAGTCGATATCTAAGTGGCTATTCATTCAACCATCGTCTATTTCTCTATATTGCTCTTCTCGTCGTCGTAGAATCATTCAACCAACATGAATCCAAAATTAGCTTGTTTTGAGAGAATCTTGGATGAGGAGCGCTGATCGACTGGGGTGAGCGGTTTCCCTCTGCATATCCCAGACTCGGATAGCAGATTTCGTTTGCAGCAGGTTGGCAAGAACATGCGCTTGCCGTACACCCTGTATATCTCCAATAGAATGGAGAATTCTTAAGGTAAATTCTCGGATTTTGTCGGTTGCATTGGCCACTATGTAATCAAGTTAGTTTAAATGTATATGAATGGCAACATGAGCATTGCACTATCCCATCTACTCCATGAATTTGTCTGCGAAATACCCTGGAATAACCACAAAACGTATGAGGAAAAGAATCGAGAAATTAGGAAGGGCGATTCCTGATTTCTCGCGTTTTTGGTGAGAGTTTTGCGATTATTCAAGGCTATTTCGCATACTGTGGGGTGACAAGGCTCATCAAGAGCGCCAAAAACATTATGGCATAGAAAAGGATTTAATATGAAAACAATCATGAGGTAGAAGCAGCAATGTTTCGAGAGTAGCTGTTGGGATGTGAGAAATGATATATCTTACTATTTCCAGCAAACCACAGCGGCCAGATGAGAGACGACGCTTCCGACATAGTAATCGGAGGCACCTCTTCAATATTATCTGAATGTGCTTGCGTTGCCATCGACCGTGGTGGATTTCCTCTCCCAACATGCTGTGGGACACTTGCAAGAATATCCCCTTGGAGAGCAAAGATCGTTTCCGTGGCCGTCTGAAATTGAGCCGTATATTTGACATGAGTGAACAGTGGTGGGGTAGCCGTGAATCCATTAAGTAAGATCTCTCGAATCATCCCGTTCAACATGATCCTTAGTGTTCGGAGCCAGTTCCACATTAGTGCTACCAGATGATCGCTATATATATGGTATCGGCCGTCAAAAATGACATCGGTTTGCGCATCTGTCAAAATGGTTTTGTACTCCCAACCAGGAGGAGGATTGGTGTATAGTTTCAGAAGGACACTGTCCATTTCCAGAGCAGAGGAGAGAATATTGGCGAGACCTGTAACTGAACCGTCTTGAACACCGGCACGAAGATCCGCAAAACGAACCATGACATCCATCAGTAGATATTCCAGTCGGCTTTCTGCCGACTGTTTGAAAGTCTCGAACAGGTATTCTCGAAGGTGTTCAGGCAATCGGATGCCACGATACACACAATTAATGAGAATATTAGATACTGCATGTAGTAATAATCGCCGACCACCTAAAGTTTGCACTTGTTCAGGTCCGCGAAGTCTGATGACTGCCGCTGCCCCATACACGTGTTCTATCCAATCCTTCAGCGAGCGCTGTCGACATCCCGTCACCGTCTCAAAGATAGCGAGAATCTGTATCGCCATCAGTGTACTGTCCTTCTTCACATCTTCTGGATTGCGAATAGCGGCATTGGTAAACTGTATTGCTCTCAAGTATTGATACTTGGCGTTGTTCATGAGAGATGGTGCATGGGCCGTGTGTGAATACGCAGCCAGACCAACTGCTCGCATACTGGCAAGCAAGGATTCATCCAGATGTTGATTCTGAAAAAGATCCGTGGCTCGATCCATGAGCGGTTTGGAAGGCCCTTTGGGATCCAGGATATAATGAAAAGCGAAAAATGACGTAGCCCTATCTTCAAGATTCGGCGCTAGTGAATAGGAGAGGGAAAGTTGATCTTGCTGCACCACCTCAGGAGATGTGACTGAGATTTCGGATTGATACTTTTCTTCTTGATCGCTTTCTGATACCCGGGGACTACTTGTGGTCGACTGGGCACTACTACTGCTGGCAGCGAAATGACGACGCCCTGCCAGAGCCTTTTTATGTCGCGCCTCGGTGGCTTTGAATTTCCGAACGACATTGCTACTTTCGTCCCTAAAAATCAACTCGCCGGCGATCCTATAGCCGGGGCATGTTCTTTTTGCTCTTTTGCACTGTGTACAGCCCCCCTCGGCAATATCAATTTTGTCACACTGCGGCTGGTCAGTGAAAAAACGTGACGACAAAAGGCGGTTCAAAAGAAGTGCCTGTCCTTCAAGTACCAGGATTACAGAATTCTTGACGTAGATGCCAATACGACTTACTCTTGTTTTTCGTGCCCTGCAAGCATGACAGCCGCCGGATGGTTTTCCGCAAAAGACCATTTTATGTAGGATGAACTACCAATCTTCCCCTGTTGGGTGGTTATGTCCGCTGAAGACTAACACTACCTGTCCCAGCAAGTGGCCACCTAAGTGGAACGAGCTCATGCGACGACGTTGAACGAATGCAGAAGCGACGGATTGAGTCACTGCATGGAAACTGTGGAAAAAGCATGGGGGAAAAAAAAGGTTTGCTACCAAGCCCGTATATCACCCAAGGAGAGATGGTCGCCCAAGAAAGGAAATGTTGGTTGTCAGAGACGTTCGGGGAAGAGGGGAGGATGGGATGGGAGAAGCGAACATCATGCTACCCCAAATCAGGACAAGTGCTGATTTCGAAAACGCCACAATGTCGCGTGGCTTTCCACAAAAGCGGCACGGAGAGATCAACTTGGTTTGAGTTTGGTGTCCTGGACTTCAGATGAAATGGAAGAATTCGTCGAGAAATCCTACGCATACGTTTTAAGTTCATCTTAGAATGTTTGAAAAACTCATCTGGAGCATACTACCAGTAGCACGCTGGGCCACAAAAGCTAACCGAGGCCTGCTTTTGTTTGTGTCCAATCATTTCTGACTAATCGTACCAATCGCCTCGTACCCTCTCACGCGGTGCTCGGTTGGAGAAGGAACCCCTGGAATTTTGGCTGCAAGTCCACCAATCGTACTGCACAGATTGCCAATGACAACTTTCGAATCCCAGGACATTTGGCGCTTGTCAACATAACAGATTTCTGATTCAAGTAGAATAAGCGAGACCTGGTTGCCGAATTTCTAGTATCGTAGACTCTACGTAGGCAGGTTATGTGACGACACGTACGCAAGGCCCACGGTGGAGAGGTGGAATCGTAGAAACTGTCAAATACGAGGATTCTAAGCTGAGGAGAAGAGGAGAGCTCGAGAGAGCTTCGATCTAAATACAAGGTGTGGGTCGCTAAGCGACACCACGTGATAGGTAGCACGTGACGGTCTGAACCGTCACATTACCCCCCCCTTTGAAAAAAGCTTGCCCTCAAGCTTGTAGGCATCTCTGTATTGTCGTCCAATTGTTCGTACGAATCTAGTCCATCCTCCCAAGCCTTAATCCACTCCTGTAGTCGACGCGGGGGTCCTGGTTCTGCAGGGTACTGTAAGTGAAAGCTCCTAAGTTTGTGTGGCGAATACTTGAAGTCGGACGCCGGATACCATTCTGGATCCTCGTCATGCCCTGTCCACTTTGCCCTATAATATAGTGCTTTCCTTGTTCTCTTGACTGCAATTACCTCTTCCACTTCCCACTCCTCGTCGTCTGTAACCTGTATAGGCGGAGGTGGTTCATTTATCTGTCCAGCTAAAGGGTCGTCCGAAGCTTTTCGTAGGCGGTCTGTTGAGAACACTGGGTGTATCTTCATTGAAGCTGGTAACTTGACTTCGTAAGAGTGTCCAACTTGTCGAATTACTTCGTACGGGCCTGCCATCTGATGGTCTAGCTTGCGGCTTGGGCGTTCGGTCTTCCAATTTCTTGTAGCCACCCAGACTCTGTCTCCTACCTTGAAGTCTACTTCACGTCGGTGGGGATCAATATCTCTTCGCTTCTTGTCCTGCGCTTCCTTCATGATTGTACGAGCTGTTTCCCACGCTTCTTGGAGCTTCCTAACCACTTGCTGTGCCTC